CGGGGCTTAGCGTGGGGTCCGGGTTTTACGTGTGTCGCTGAATTAATCCTTTTTTTTTCCCCTTGCAGTTTTCTCCACTTGGCGATTATTCACGAGGAAAAAGCCCTGAGCCTGGAGGTGATCCAGCAGGCGGCCGGGGACCGGGCTTTCCTGAACTTCCAGAACAACCTCAGCCAGGTACTTTTACCTCCACGGCCCCAAATCCGGATCAGTCCCTACCACCCACACACAAGCCCTGTTGGGGAATTCCCCCAAAAAAGTCCTTTTAATTTTTTTTGTTTTAATTGATGGAGTCCATTAAATCAAAGGCTGCATTCAGGAAAGTCCCCAGCTGGCTCCAGCTGGTGTTAGTACAATGCTTCCTCTCCCCTGAGAGAGTGGCATTCAACACCCACATTTTTCAAATATGATGCAATGGATTGCATCCCTCTTTATTGAGATGTTAATGATACCCTTCATACAGATTGACTGTTCTGTATCCAGAGAGCCCTAAGTTCATCACTTCCAGATGAAAGGGCAACTGTAAAACATCTTGGGAAGCACAAAGAACGGAGTTTATGGAACATGCTTTAATTGGTGGCACAAATCACCGAGCGGTCGAGAGCTCTGCTTGTCCAGTCGTTGCTGCCAAGTTCGTGGTGTAACTTACAGTCTGCTTTTTCGCTTTTGCCTGCAGACTCCTCTTCACCTGGCAGTGATAACCGATCAGCCTGAAATTGCTGAGCATCTTCTGAAGGCTGGCTGCGACCTGGAAATCAGGGACTTCCGAGGAAACACCCCCCTGCACATTGCCTGTCATCAGGGCTCCCTCAGGAGCGTCAGTGTCCTCACGCAGTACTGCCAGCCACAGCACCTCCTCGCTGTCCTGCAGGCAGCCAACTACAACGGTACGGGTACACTGCTGGACAGTGCTTGGGGTGCTGCACTGAGGGTAGCATTGGTGCCTCGTAGATCTCAAAAATCTCTGGAGAGCTGGAGAAGGATCAGTATGCCCATTTGAGAGTTGAGGAGCCCAAAACACACAGCAGTGCCTGACTTCTTTAAAATGCCGCTGTCTCGTAATCCTCCTCACTATTGATTATTATCATCTCTTGTGGCTTTGAACTTTGCATTTTTAGTGAGTACTTTTGCCATGGTCCTTCTTTTTTGGTTGTAATAAGTTGCAAACATTGGAACAAAGCCTCTAAGAAATCTTTCCAAATCCAACCCTATTATTCATATTCACTGGAAGTTGGAAAGCTCTTCTGGAAAACACCCTTTTGCCATGGACAAATTGCAGATTTAGATGTCATCCTGACCTATCATCTTGACTTTAAGTAGTGATGAGGCATTGAGTTAGACTTACTCAAAATTTCCGTTTGTGTTTTGCAGGACATACATGTCTTCACTTGGCATCTATTCAAGGATACCTGGCTATTGTCGAATATTTGCTGTCCTTGGGAGCAGATGTAAATGCACAGGTATGCAACGTGTACCATGAATTTAATTGAGCAGAGCTGTGTAGTCTTAAGAATCAACAGAACTGGAAATGGCTGTCTCTTCTAACATGCCAAACCTTGTTATTTTCACACAGGAGCCTTGCAATGGCAGAACTGCACTACATTTGGCCGTTGACCTGCAGAATTCAGATCTGGTGTCGCTTCTGGTGAAACATGGGGCAGATGTGAACAAAGTGACCTATCAGGGCTATTCCCCCTATCAGCTCACGTGGGGAAGAGACAACTCCAGCATACAGGAACAGCTGAAGCAGCTGACTACAGCTGACCTGCAGATGTTGCCAGAAAGTGAGGATGAGGAGAGCAGTGAATCAGAGCCTGAATTCACGGAGGATGAAGTAAGTCACTGTTTGCACTTTTTGAAGAGAGGGGAAAATCCTGTCATGTGTAGGTTTTTTTATGTTGGTGCTGCTCTGATTACATGCTCCAGTGACCTGTTGCTGTATAACAGACAGGTATAAATAGGCCATAAAGTAAGGTTAGGCTATCAGCCATCAGCAAAATGGCAGTTGGGGCAAGCATATAAATAGAGTAAGAAGAAAATGTGAAAAATAACATGAGGGAATTGACTTCATGCAACATGGTTCTCTGAACACTGTTCTGTGGCTGACACAGAACCTCATGAGATAAAATTCAAGTTAATGGGTGGTTTTCTTCTCCCCAGCATTTGTTTGCCTAACATTCTCAGTGCTGTTAAATGGCAAACATAACCATTTTGGTGTAGAAATTTACACTGCTGATGTCTGGGCATGCAGAATTTGGCTATTATCCCAGAATGGATGCAATACTTCTAGTAAGATTTTTGCATTACAGCTTTTTGGGTTTTTTTCTTGCAGCTTATATATGATGACTGCATCATTGGAGGACGACAGCTGGCATTTTAAACCAGAGCTTTCCGTGAGAAGAACTGACTGTATACATATGTACAGAAAAAGGACTGACTTTCTTCATTTAAAAAGAAAGTCGCAGTGTGGAGAGAAAAACCAGGAGGGAAATACTACACTGCCCAGCAAGGAGGAGGAGCACATAATTGTAACAGGACAGTTCCAGGTTCTGGCCTGTGTTTAAATACAGGAATGGGATGTGTAACGTCGGTAGAGATCTGTGATTATTCACACCACCTGATAAAGAGCCACATAGCCGATCTTCTCAACCTTATGAAGCTAACAGACTACACATCCAACCTGCTCGTTGCAGAGAGCTTTCTTGTGGCATTAAGTACTACGAGGAACACGTGGCTTTTCATGACAAGTTGGGCTCATACCAGCGTCCCGTCTTCTTGGAGACTGTGTGTTCATGTGTGTTGGGCTCGTGGCACTCCCTGACCTTACTGACTGACCTCAGCTGCTCTCAGTGGGGTGTCCCAGGCAGAGGAGTCAGACCAAGGGACTGGTGACCTCTTGGCTCTTAGGAGAAGTAGCAATAGTGTTAACTGTGGGCATTGGAAACTGTGTGTTTCACACCATGTGTGTCAAAATTGCTACACTTTTTAGCAGTTGTATATTGTGTAAATACTGTACATTATTTGTTTATAATTATTTTGGTACATGTGAGATATGTATTTATTAAAAAAAGATTACTGTACCTAGTCTGTGAAATGGTTCATTGCCCACCTCATTGTCCTGAGATTGTGAGAATACACCTGGTTTGCTTTTTAAGAAACATTTAACACCCTAGTAGACCAATGGGGTCACAGTCTCAGGGGTTTTAAGGTTCACCTCAACAGTGGTAAGACATTTAACCAGTTTGCAGTTCTCAGCTCTTCTGCTGGAGTTATTTTTGGAAGTAAACGTAGGTGGTGTTTCCTGCATGCGTTGTTGTAGCAGGCAGGAGGTCGTGGGGCTGGGATTCCCCCTTTGTCACCAAGCACTAGGCTGCTCAGTCTAGAGAGGGGATTTCAGGCTGTTTGTGGCACCACGCACCCACCTGCCCTTTTGTTCCAGCTCCAATACTTGGCAGTTCTTGCCAGGGGAGGCTGGAGGTTTGCAGCCCCTTGCCTGTTTGCCTCGTTTATCACCTGGCCCAGCTCCAGTTTGAACTCTGACACCTTTGGAATTTCCAAAGGGGATTTCCGTGGGAAGAGGGAACACACGCTTAGTAACATGTGCTGCCGCTTTCCACCCCTGAAATTCAGGCTTGGGGCCTTCCCACTTCCCCACTGCAGGAGCCACAGCTCTTCCTGTCCAATTCATAGCGGTGAAGGATGTGGCTGTAACCTGCTTCAGCTGTTCCTCAGGCAGCACAGGGCTACTTTGAGCTGAAGATTTTAGCCTGTTCTACGTCCAGGTGAAGGATAGGTTGTGTGAAGGGTGACCATGCCCTGTTTCTTCCATGCTGTACCCCCTGGATGGGCACAGGGAGCAGGGGAGCTGCTGACGCAGGGCTGAGCTCTGCCAAGAGTGTTGGCCAGGGCACTTCTGTGCTGCTGGCACCTGGCCTGGCTCAGACTGCTGGAGAATGTTGTGGCCCCAAGTTGTACAGGGGCACCCATTCCTTTTTCTGCCCTGCTCTACCCGAGAGGTTCCTCACACATGACCTGCTCTAAGGAGGGCTTGTTGGTATGAGGAAGAGCACCACAGCTGGCTGGGTGCTTCCTAATTTGCATGGGAGTCAAAGGCCACTGTGGAAAGGATTATATAAAATTGTCATCCTGAGTCATTTTTATTTCCCTTCCACTCTCATTGCATGAGCATAAACCAGGTGCCCTGAAACTTCCTTCTAGCAGACAGGGCCGTGGTGGGGCTGGGCAAAAATCTGCCAAAACCTTCTTGTGGGGAACTCACCCTGCACTCTGACCAGCCACTAAATCTGAGCTGGGTGTTGTGACTGGGGGGG